TTTTCATTTCAAACGTTTTATGTCAATCAAACAACTATTACTAAATTCTGTTAATATAGGTCTGTCTTTTAGGACAAGTCTCTGCGGGTTTCTTTTTGACACATTATTAACTTCCTTTTAAACAATTCTTTGTATTTTTTAAAAAAACTTTGTAACATGTTTTTCAATTAGTTATTTTGTGATTCGATTCAGGGCTAAAGAAACTAATTTATCTTACTAAATTAGCTGTTTATTTTTTAAAATTAATGAATAATTAACGTTTTATTAAAATTTCTCATTCATTTAAATAATGTGAATTTGGTTTAAAGACTACAATACTACTCATTATTGAATCAGACTGAACTAAGTACATTGTTTTTTAAAAATTAAAATTTGTCCGATATATCGATATATCGACATTTTTTTCGATATATGATATAATTATAATATATTGATATTTTTATAAGTATCGATATTTTTTTTCGACTTTCGGCATCCCTACAGTTAGCCATGATGCTGCCGCTATGTCAACATACGTTCCGTTCCTCCCAGTTTCTGCATATTTAAATGAGTTTACTATGTATATTTTACTATGTACTGTGGAAATAAAAGTTTAAAAAAATTTAAATTACCAAAAAATAATTAAATTTGCGATACAATGTGTTCTGTAAATTCAGTTTATCTATTATTTTTAAGTTTTGGAAATAATACTGAAATAAAGAATTGCGTCAAATGTGTCGCAAATTGTCGCTAGCGCCATCTTGCGATATAGGAAACTACCAAAGACAGCTAATCGCCCTCCATAGAAAACGTCAAAGTATAGAAGTGAAAAGACCCTGTTCAGTGCCGTCTCAGTTTTCAAGGTGAACGCACGTCCAGTCTTAGTTCGTGTCGATCTACATTGGTCCGCGATATATCTATTGTTCGCTGTATAAGGGTGGGTCGCGGTCGGACACGTCAGCAAATTGTTATTCTTCATAAGAAGTAGACAAAGTATGTGAGTTTTATATATTATTTTTTAATTTTTTATTTTTTAAAAAAAAACACTGCTCTTACTTTAGGATAATATTATCCTGTGTTGTAAAGGACGTTTTACAAACATAAATTTCACGCGGACAAACACCCAGATGCGAAACAACTATCTGTGGGTCACACAAATAGTTGTCCCGTGTGGGAATCGAACCCACGACCCCCGACGCCGAAGCCAATACCTTGGCAACTGCGCCACGGAGTCTTCAAATTTTTAATTGTTTATTAATAATAAAAATTAATATAAATTTTTAATTTTTAATTGTTTATTATCCACACTAATGTAGTTATTGAAATCATTATTTATTTTTCTTCTCATTCAGATCCTCTCATCATCTCCTTACGCGACTATGGCGACGGCGATTTATTTATTTATTTAAAACTTTTTTTAAATCAATTAATCCTAGTAAGTCTTTGCACTCGGAATGCTCCATAACTTGTTCTTGAAAAAGCATAAGATAACGAAGAGTTTAAAGTAGATGGGCGCAGAGTGATCGATTTTATGTACTTCTTTGAAGAATTGCAAAAAAAATTCCAAACACAGCTCTCCCCTAGCCCTTAAATGCATGATTTTATGCATGATTTTATTTTTAGACCGAGAAAAAATATATTTTGGAGCCATGAATATGCTGATTTAGGGAAAAATAATGAAAAAAATAGTTTTTTTTTATTTTCATAGCTATTTTTATTAAAAACCATTTGTTGCAGAACTACAACACTATGCACTCACTAGACAATAACTACATATGAAAATTTTTAAAACAATTTTTGGTTGTGGTAAGACAAAGAGCTACTCCACACTTCTCACACCTGTTTTGCGTGTATCCCTTGCATCCAGGCATTTTGCATCTGCTGCGAACACAATTACCAGGCCAGTGACCAACATTATCAGTCCTTATGTCCTTAGGAGGAATATGTTGAGCTGGTCCTCTCCTTTTTTTTGCTTGTATTTCCATTTCAACACTGTTGCTGGTACTTGGCCTTCCTCTTTTGTTGCAGAGTTCAAATGAGTTATTTGCTTTGGCTAATACCTCAGCTAGTTCCAGTCTATAGTTACATAGGTTTAGAACTGATGAATTGGCTTCAGTTGTTTTTAAATTTTTATACACAAGCCAAGAATTTATTACCGTCATGTCCAATAAGTGGTAAAAGATACGAAGATACCACTTTCGGCTTCTCATTGCAATTCGGTACCTCCCAATAAAGCTATCCATTAGGTCCACTCCGCCCATATGGGCATTATATTCCTTTATTATATGTGGGCATGAAATTTTAATTCTAGTCTTATTTGCCTTGTCAAATCTTTCTACTTGGCCCACAGGTTCAGCTCCAACATATGAAGATAGAAAAGTTACAACTTTATTGTCCTTCCAAGTAACTGCTGTCAAATCAATACCGTCAAATTCAGTCATCTGCTCTTCATAAGTTCCACGAGGAACAGATTTCTTCATCATTGTTTTTTTGTCCGGCAGTTTGCAGTTCACTAGCCTGTTAGATTGCACAGTACCTAGGCTATAGATTCCTTGTTTGGCAAGATAGGTAACTAAAGGTACAGAGGTGTAAAAATTATCAAAATAAATTATATGATTTATATGCCTTGGGACACCTCTAGCAAGCCGGACTACAACATTTCCCACTGGCCCAAAATCTTTGTGGCAACTTTTTGTGGCACACATCTGTTCATCAATTGAGAGTTTTTGTTCCATAGGAACTAAAGCAAATTTCTCATTTAGATGGCTAATTATAGGCCTTATCTTATGGAGCCTATCATGTTGTGGGTGTTCCTTGGGTAAATGTTTCTCGTTATTGTTGAAATGTAGAAATCTACGAATAGTCTCAAATCGGTTGACAGTCATTATGTCCTTGATTGGTTGAAAACCTACAGTATTTGACCAGTATAGCCGTACATTGGGATATTTTATAACAGACATGTATATCAGTATCGCCATAAACTTTCTTAGCTCAGTTTCAGATAAATTTAATGGTTTAGTCACATTTTTTTGAACGGAATACAAATTAGACTCTTCCACAATCCTTTGAACTATTTCTGATGTAATAAAATGTGAAAAAATACTATAGGGAGTACCAGTAGTAGCCTCATCCTTCAGTTCAGGTGGGTATGTAGTGTCTCCATGAAAAGCTGTCTGGTCAGAATTCAAAACAATTTTTTTTACCTTCCATACGAGTCCTCTCATAGTTGCTCGGCGACTAGCTTGACTTGTTGAGGGGAATGGAACCTGTGGCACTTGATCATTTGCTGTAGCTTCATTTATCAATGGCGGGTCTCCTGCCATGAATGGATCATTATCGGGGTCATCATTTTCCTCTTCTAATGGACTCTCAAGATCGTGAAGCAAATCGTCTCCATTTTCATAAAAATTCTCATTACCTTCTGTATCCGAGTCCTCAAGATCATCTTCCGAAATCTCTCCATCATTTATTAGAGCTAAATACTCTTCTATTTGCTTTTGATTCAAGTATGGCATCTGAAAACCAATAAAAGTGATAGTTAGTAACTAAACAGGGACATTTTCTAGT